AGTGACAAACGTATAACCACAACTTTGTTTACTGTTTTACCCCTTACCACTGCCATATGTGAGTTACAGTGTCCTGTATGGGCAACCTATTAGGTAAATTTGATATTCATTTCCTCCACTTATTTTGCCTTTGAAAAATCAGAAGACTCACTCCAAAGGTGACGTTAACATGACATTATGTACTCACAGACCTCACCTTTCCATGCAGGTGTGAATCACAACTCTCAGCCTAAGCTGTGAGGAAATGTGCCCTTGGCTGCCCATGACAGGACAATACTTTCTTAATTTATCTGAGAAAGATGCTGCTGGAATTCAGATCCTGGACTACCTTAATGACTCTATCAGTCCTTTGCTCAGAGTAGATGTACTAGAGCACAGATACATATGCAAACTGCTTCTGAAGATCAACAATTGCTCCTTACACCTCATGTTCCTAACACAGAAATACCCACAATGAGCTTAGGGCATACATATGGTTTTACTCCTCATCGTGATTCCTCCAAAGGAAAATATATTGTGCTTCTAGCACTGTTTCAACAACTCTCCTATGTACATTCTACAACTCTTACTGATTCCTGCAAAGCAAAATGTATTGTGCCACTGGTGGTGCTTGAAGAACCTTCCTGTATAAAAACTGCAGCAGGAGCTGGCCATCTAGTGGAATAACAATTGCTGCATGCAGTGGCCTCTGGCCAAGCAAATGCAATGAAGGAGCACATGATACTGCAATATTTTAAGGCTGCTCTGTCAATGCAATGAGAAAGTATTACTAATAATAAGTTGAGCCTTTTGAAGCAGCAGAGCCTCAAATTCATGGAGGCAATAGCTCACCTCGTAGTACTACTCCACAGAACATCAAGTTTCTTTTCCAGAGTGTATTTTTTTTTTAATCTTGTTTTCCTCTTTAACTCTTGAAATTGGATGTTTTATCATTCCATCCCTATATACAACATGGTAGTGGATTAGCTGTATAACAATTTCTGTGCTTCTCGTGCCTTTTGAATTTTCAGTTGGTATTTTTCTTTGAGTTCAGACAGCTCATAAATTTGACCTCACTAACTACATGTCCAAACATCACTGATTACAGAAAGTGTATTAATTAATTCAGGTGAATTTTAAAAGATACACTCAGGAGTACCGTAACAGTTTATGACAGAAATGTACAGACTTTTGATATATCTTCACATGATTTGACTTTCAGGAAAAGGATGGTCTGTTTCATGTTCAGGAAAGAAAGATTAAAATCTGTGAAGAACATCTGGAGCTCGAAAAGATTTGCAATGAACAGAATGAAATAAAAATAGTAGTCCAGTTCCCATCCCCAGTGTATACAGAGGTACTACAGCAAAAAAAGACATTGTTCTGATTACTAGTGCAGACTGGAAGAAAACTATGTATAGATTTTTCTAGCTGAAGAATATTAACTGTGTTTAAAAAGGAGACACAGGAATGTAGTTTCTTTAACTTGCAAGTTGATTGACTCTTTTCTACTATGAACAATGACCTTAGAAGAGGATTCAACAGTATTTTCATTGAAGAATTATAAAATTACCATACAAATGTAGTTTAGTCTTATGATTACTAACTGCTTTGGTTCTTCAGGAAATATGCAAAAAGTTGCAAACAATTCTAACTAGTTAATTGAAACCTGTTTAAAAACAATCAAGCAACAATTTGTTTCATGTTCAATAACAATATTCTGAGGCCAGAAAAAAGACATGGTATTTCCAGTAATTAATTATAACCTTGACTGTATGTAGGAGCTCCTTCAAGTATGAAGAAACAATTTCTGGCAGACTACATAGATGAATCCATATAAAACTCAGTCTCACAGAAACTTTTCAAGAATGATATTACAGAATCACAGAATCATATTGAACTTTTAAGACACACCTCCCAGCTTCATGAAAGAGAAAAACCAGCTCTCTATTTTTGACACATTCCTTTCAAAATCCTTTCTATATATCTTCTATTGACTTGTGAAACACAGTGTAAAATTAAATATTAGCACAGTTACTTTGTTTTTACTCACTGCCAGCATCATGACCTTTACTGAAAACTGAATTATTGGCTCTTTAATCTGTATCTGAAAATACAAGTGCCCATAAAACACAATTTAAAATTGTATTTATATCACCATTAACAGTGTCTAATTTTTCTTCCCATAATAAAATTCATCCTTAAATACCAATAGGAGAACCCAAACATTAATCTGAAGGAGTCGTTTAGAAAGCTTTTGGAAAGGATTACATATTGTTCCAATTCCCTCTTCTTGTTTCTTTAGAGCTTAGAACATCTTTGGCACATGAAGCTCTGAGGTTTGCTTTTCTTCCTCAGTTTTATTAAATACAAGACATTTTAGAACATGGTTTTGGTTCTGTTATTCCACTCACTATCTGTTGAAATGTCTTTTTCAACAGCCTGAGCAACAATTCATTTTTGTCCATTGCATTACCTGCTATTAATTTGCATGCTTCCTTTTTAGCAGTTCTGTATCAAAAAATTCAGTATCTTGTTTGGATTAGGTATACTCTCGTCATAAGAAGTACCTGAATACTCCTCTATCACTACTTGTGGGATTTTTCTCTCCTCACTATCTATCTTTTCACCACTGATATTCCTTTATCCATTCCTGTATCTTGCTCTATCAGATTTTTTTTTCTTTTTTTTTTAACCAGGTTTGGAAACTAAACCAGTTTCTTTTGACCTTCTCCCCTCACTTTTCAGTTTAAAGCTCTAAAGCTCTTCTTATCACCATAAAAGCCCTGATGTCAGGAGGCAATTTTCCCAGACAGTCAAATGGAATCCAGCCTTTGACAATGCTCTCTTTTAGCAAATGCATCCCACTTGCTAAGTATTCCCAAACGTGCCTTAAGCACTGATCTGTGAGCCATCTATTGATTGTCATTATGTCATCATATGTCCAATCTCCCTCTGTATTAGCTAGAAAACATTTTAGGGCAGTTACTAAAATGGGACATAATTATCTTCAGAGTTATCCTATTTCTAAGTTAAAAATGCATCGCAAAATCAAACTGTTATCAACGTTTAGTACAACTCTCTATAAAACAGGCAAACTTATTGCTAGTAAATTTTATTATGGCTGATATAGAATCACAGACTACCAAGTTGGAAGGGACCTCAAGGGTCATCTGGTCTAGCCTTTCTTGGTAAAAGCACAGACTGGACAAGATGGCCCAGCACACTACCCAGGGGAATCTTAAAAGTGTCAGGTGTTGAGGACTCCAGCACGTCCCTGGGGAGATTATGCCAGTGGCTGTTTGTCTGGTCTCTGAAAAATTTTCCTCTTGTGTCTAGTTGGAATTTCCCCAGGAGTTCCCATTAACCAGCATCTTTTCCTTGCAACTCCTTCTAAAACGGGAGTCTCCATCTCCCTTGTAGCCATCCTTTAAATACTGAAATATTATGATAAGGTCTCCCCTGAGCCTTCATTTCTCCATGCTGAACACATAACTTTCTCTCAGCCATCCCTCACATGGAGCCTCACAGTCCTTGGATCATTTTGGTGGCCCTTTTCTGAACCCTCCCTAGCTGGTCCACATCTTGTTTTTGTATAGCACCACAGCTTTTTATTAACAAATAAACGGTGAGCTCATCTGCATTAAAATAAAAAATCCTTCATATAACAAACAAGGTGTGTTTCTATCAATCATTTCAACTGATCTGTGATGTTTATCTCTCAGTTCATCTGTACTCTGTCATTGCCATTACTGATGGCAAAGAAAGATTGCCCCAAAACCCTATAGTAGTTATTTTGGAAGACCTGATTATTTAAAATTTTGGTAGAGGGAAAAAAAAGAAAAAAAAAAAAAAAAAGGGTTAGATTCTGTTTCTTGTGTTCTAAAAAGCTCTGGGTTTCTGCTGAAGTCTTTTGCATTGAATCATCTCTCTGTCAGAATGCTCATTAAGGTCGTGCCCAAGAAACACAGGTGATGTTGTCAAAGCATTGCAGTGACTGTATAAACATTCTTAGTGAAATGTTTTCTAATTATGAAATGACCCCACAAGTGAAAAATACATTTTTTTGTTTCAAGTATATCACAAAGCAAAGCCAACTATGTAGAAAAAGGGGGGCATGAGAGCCATAAGAGTTGTCTCCTTCTTGAAGGAAAAGGGGCAGGGTTAGCTAAGTGCCACCAAAAGGTAAAGAGAAATTCATGGAGCCTTAGCTTGCAGTAGGAGAGCTAAGAGCAGTTGAGAGTAAAGTAGTCCTGGCAGTTCTGGAACACTGAACCTAAACCAGATTTCTTTAAAATCAACAGATTTTAAATGCAGGAGTCACTGGACTAGGGTCACGATGATTGTGCTCAGGAGAATATTGTCCTTAAAAGCTCATTCACTTCAGATTTACTCTAGTGTCCTTCCACTAATTTCAATAAAGCAATTTTCGATCAGCAATCAACTATAACCACTTTATGTTAATATGAGTTTGAGTAGCTAGCTTTCAGAATCTCTTTGTTTCTAGGAAGGACTAAAACACTTCTATTTTCTTTCCTTAGGCATCCTTTCAAATCTAATTCATATCTGACAAATGAGACAAGAAATCAATACTGTGTAGTATATACTGTATAATGACCTGGAAAGTTCTTAAAATAGCTGTGCTTGCTTCAGAATAGGTCTTCAGTATTCAGTATACAATTATTTGGCACTGTTACACTTGGCCAAGTTCCACTGAAAATATGGTTCTGTAAAACAGAGTCAGACCAAATGGGATTAATCTGTACACTCCTGTTAGTTTTTAGTTGCCTCACATAATACACAAGTCATATATAAATTGGGTTTTATTTTGACCTTTCCCATCATATTTAGGAAAACATGAATGGAGCAATATTGAAAGCTGGGATTGTTCAGCTCTTACCAATATAGAGGTTGTGCACCGTGCATGTACCATATGCCGCACACATTCCCACCTCTGTGCCCTGAAGGAGGTTTTAGTGTCAAGACAGCACTTTGAATTTCACAGTATTTCATAGACTTTCTTACCTCTGCCGTGGCATGCGGATGAGTGGCTGTTTATGGCACCTCTTACTAAGGCCAAAGAGCTTGTGAACAGTTTTCTGGGCCTTGAGGAAGAGCTGCTTCATGCTGTTTTCTAGCTGCTCATAGCGACGTTGGAAATTAGAATCCATTGTCCACAAATGCATTACAGTAGATGTGTTCAGGAAATAATTCATGGGAAGCCTTTTCATAAATAATTTGAATTCATCTGAAACAGAAAAAAATTGATAGTTTTAATTATGCAGTTATGGCTATTGTTGCAGAAAAATTAACCTCTCATTTTCACTATTTTAAATTTGAACATTTTAACTCTTTAAAAGCAGCAAGGTAACTACTTTGTAGTGGTAACCTTAGTATAAAAATCAGCAAAAGTCAATATTTATATAATTTTATATCGATGTTACACTAAATACAAGCACATTCATTGTTTCTCAACCTGGATCATTTGGAGATTAAATACAGCTCGGAGTTTCTTACCTTCAAGTCTAAGATCTGAAAATAAATATGCATTCAAAGATCAATGTATAGTGACTCATTTGGAGAAGATAGGAAACCATCTTAAGAGGAGTATATTTCAATACTTAGGTAATGCAAGTAAATGTGATTTTACAGTCCAGCTCTTTTCTAGACATGTTCTTTCACCTGAGACTAGCCGTTAAGGATCAGACTTTCAAAAGTATTTAGAATCTAAATGGAACCTTTCAAAGAATTTTATGGTACGTTGACACTTCAAAATGTCCCACATGACTTCTTTTTGACTCATGTCCCCATCTCTAAAGTGGCAAAACCAAGTTCTTCAATCACAGGATCTCTGTTATTGTGAACATCCTATGCTTTGTGATTTGTTCTGATAGCTCAGACACACAGACTGAATCTTATTAGCAGAACTTTACTAATCAGTGAGTCTATTTGCATAAGTAGGATAATTTACAAGTTGACTTATAAGTTTTGAATCTAAATAAACTTCCATTTAAAAGGACTCTAATTACCAGGGAAAAATAAGAAAGGGAGTAGCACACTTGAATGCACATGTTTACCCTTTTTCCCTCTTGTTTCCATATATCAGCATGCCTCCCTGTCTGCCCTCCTGCCTGCTGCTATCCTCCCACTCTTCACAATCCATTTTTTCTTTCAGCTTGTTCCTGCAGTGAAGTCACTTCTCCCACAGTTTGGCTTTCACCCTGCCAGATGCTCCTTTTGGGTAGTCTGCACTTCAGCTGACTATGTAAATGCAACTGACTGAAGTAGCCTCCCTCTTAAAACTCAAGTTAATCATAATATTTAATATTGCTGTAATTTTAGGTTACTCATGGGAGCGGGTTGGTTTGGGAACATATCTGTTCCCATGAAAGAATAATCCATTACTGTCATTGTTAGTAAGTGTTTGGGGCTTAGCTTTAGCTTGAGTTTAGCTTTTTAATCAACATTTTTATATAAAGAAGGCAAAATAACTTTCTTTTTTATGGGTGGAGAAGAAAGATCTTTTCTAAATGAGCTAGAGTGACCCTCCACATCCTGAGGGACGCAGGGCCATGATGAAATGGCACAACCCTATTTTGGCACAGCATTGTTGTGATGGATGAAGACTCATCAGAAGAGAAAAGGCATTGAAAGGTCTTCTGGAAGGTAAAAAATGAAAGGTGAGGGGCAAAGATTATGATTTCATATTTAATAAAATGGTTTTAATAATTCATCTGGGAGCTCCTTGGCAATGTGCTATCCATTTTCTTCCCATGCCTTCCTCTTTGGGTATTAGTTGTCCAGTATTCCCCCTTGAGGACAGCACTGCTGCCCTCCGCTGTCCCTGGGTACAAATTAAGGGATTGAGTAAAGAAACTGTTTATTTTCAAGACTTCAGAGCCTCTTATCGTTTGCTTTGTCCCTTCCCTAATTTTTTTCCCAAAAAGAGTAAGTATCTGTTCCTGAGTTTTTAGCTTAATAATTGGAATTAATAGGAATATTTTGGGGTCAATGCTGTTTAATATCATTATCAAGGATCTGGACGAGGGATGGAGGGCACCCTCAGTAAGTTTGCAGATGAAACTAAATTGGGGGGGTATATTGATCTGTTTGATGGTAAGGAGGCTTTATAGAGGGACCTAGACAGACTGGATTGATGGGCCAAAGTCAGTGGTGTGAGGTTCAACAAGGCCACATGCTGGGTTATGCACTTGGGTCAAAAGAATCCTATGCAACATTACAGGCTTGGGGAAGAGCACCTGGAAAGCTGCCTTGAGGAAAAGGACCTGGGGGTGCTGGTCAACAGCCAGGTGAAGATGAGCCAGCATGGAAAACACCATCCTGCCTTCTATCCGAAATGGTGCAGCCAGGATGTCGCCCCCCTATACTGAGCACTGGAAAGGCTGAATCTTGAATACTGGGTTCAGTTTTGGACCCCTCACTCCAAAAAGGACAACGAGGTGCTGTTGCATGTCCAAAGAAAGTTAATGAAGCTGGTGAAGTGTCTAGAGCACAGGTCTTAAGGGGAGCGGATGAGGGAACTGGAGTTGTTTAGCCTGGAGAAAAGGAGGCTCAGGTGAGACCTCCTCACCTTCTACAACTCCTTGAAAGGAGGTTGTAGCCAGATGGTCAGTCTTCTCCCGAATAAGTGATAGGACAAGAGGAAAGGGCCTCAAGTTGCACCAGGAGAGGTTTAGGTTGTAGAGTAGGAAAAATTTCTTCACAGAAAGGGTTGTGAAGCCCTGGAACAGTCTGCCCAGGAAAGTGGTGGGATCACCATTCCTGGAGGGATTTAAAAGCCATATAGAAGTGGTGCTGAGGGACATGGTTTAGCAGCAACCTGGCAGTGCTGGGTTAACGGTTGGACAAAATGATCCTGAAGGCTTTTTCCAACCAGAATGATTCCACGAATCTCTTTATAAAATCTGCATTACCAGACGAGCATCTCTTCAAGTCTTAGTGTAGTTTTTGGAAGACCAATTCCCTCTTTTCCCCTTCCTAAGTGACCATTATGTCTTTGTCTCCTCACACTACACTTCCCAGTCCTCACTTCCCTTCAAGCCTTGCACGGATGGTTATGTTTGGCTTAGTTAACGGAGGCACAGTCCCATTGGCTTGGTAAAGCTTTCTAAGCCTGAGGACTGAATTTTCAAATTTGACAAACTGGCAGTAAAAGCTAAAAAATAATTTAAAAAAAAAATTTGAGAACAAGAAAATTAATAGGGAATAAGGTTAACTGAACTTTTCCAACCTATGTCTGCAGTTTGTATAAATCAGCCAAGCTCTGCTGACTTCAGAGGAGTTGCTAACACACCTAGGGAGGATCAGATCCAAATGTCCCATTCCTGACTACCTGTTTTAGTCGTTAACTTCTCATTTCCCTTCTGTTCTTCTGAGACACTGGTATATCTACTTAAACCCAGTTTCACGAAGCCAAAAGTAAACCCCAGTCCCTGAGGAAAGAATATACCCAGAAGATGCCTTTTCAGCTTTCATATGGCTGTAATAACTTATTTAAGAAACGTTGTCAATTTGCTGTCCTCTGCACAACAGCAATAAGCTCTACAGCTAACAACTAATCGGGTGCAGTGTTTAGAAGTGATAAGGAGGGTTTACACTCCTTAACGTGCAATGCAAAAGCATTTCCAATAAGAAAATGCTTCTTTTTCTCCCTGCAATAAACATTATCATTGACTATCCCTGTGCCCTGTATGATGATGCTAATGAGCACCATAATGCAGGTAAAAGAGAGACAGATAAAATGAGCATGGTTACATAGTGCCTTGCACTAAAAGGAGAAGAAAAGATAACGGGCTCATATCTTAAACAGACACATTTCGTGATCTGTGAAATGACAACATGAACTCCTAACACTGAGAGATGATTAAACTATTACACTCTAATCAACACATTGTACCAACCATTCTTGAGGATTAACAGCTGGTATTACAGTGCTAGAGGACATAGAAACTGATAGTTTTAAAACACGATGCTTGATACCACATGTGATATGATTTCAGCATTTACTTTCACATGCAATAGCATTTTTTTTCATATTCTCAGCTAATTGCAAATAATAGGGGAAAATATAAAATATTATATGTAGTGGTTGATCAAGCAAGTTAACTTTATTTTATGGCTAGTCAAGTCTGGTTTTCACTTCCCCCTTTCTGCAAGGTAAATCTTCCTTGTATTAATGGTGTCTAGAGATTGAAAAGGCATACCATATTTCAGTGACAAAAAATAAATGAAGAATATCACAATGGGAGCAAACATTATTGTTGAAACGAGACGAATTTCAGACATATTTAGCCTATAGGTAATACCTACAGCTACTTAGCTTGTAACTTGGATTCTCAGTGCTATCAAGCAGGGCTCAGTGCTGAGTACACTGATTAACATTTTGCATACAGAGCTAGCAAAGACCAGAAAAATGCAGTAAAACTCAAAAGATTTGACAACACCCTGCTACAAGGAAAAAAAGGTGCCTGCTCCATGTTGGAAGAGAACAGAACTCTTGATTTCTCTGTTATGAATATTTTCATATCCTTGATATTTTGAATTACAAAATCTGTACAAGCATATCACACCTACAAGACCATGGCACACTTCTGGTTTTGTTTCAGCTGAGGCCAAGTGGGTTTTTTTGGAACTTTTGCACGCTACCAAAACATCTCGTTCAAGTTTGTTTCCTAAGATCCCTTTTGCAGGATCTTTGGAAGCATCTTGGAACTCAAGAGATTCATACCAGCTTGGAAATTCAGAACATCAGGTCAATAACTGTTCCCACAGGCTAACATTTCACTGTGCAATGTAATGCTGGCAATATTAACATGCCACATAATATTATTGCACTTCTTCTCCCGTTCTCTTTAGATTAAACAGAACAAGTCCATGACTGAGCTTTCAAACTGCCATTCCTAAAATTTTCTTTTAAATTAAATACCCATTGTCTCCTCAATGTGACAGAGACTATTTCTAGCTTATGGGTGTTAGAATCAGCACAACGCCCTACTCACAGCCCAAGACTTACTCTGTGTAAAGGCAGAGAACAATCTCAGCTTCTGCAGTCAGGATAACATGAGCAGGAGGATAAAACAAGAGCTCCTTTAAGCTATAGTTTGTGTCTGGGGAGGTGAACTTTAAGGAAGAGCAAAATTCATGAGTTCCCTGATAAATAGGAAAATTCATATTTGACATGGACATTTAACAAAGAAAAACATACACACAGGTCTTTTGCTCTGTTTT